TCCAACACATGTTTAGCACACACTGAAGGCCCAGCACTGTTGCAGCCAAGGGATATCACAATGGGGAGAGGGTAACAATAATTGCCCTGTAGTGACCATGTTCTGGAGCACTTACTGAACTATTGGATAGATTAAACTCTGTTGCATGTCCTCTTCCACTCTCCTGTGTGGGAAGCATTAGAAGCCCAAGTTTGCAAAGCTAGTAAGTAGTCGAGCCTGGGTTCAATTCGGTTTTCTTTTGTTCTAAGTCCAAGTCTTTCCAGGACCTCACAGCCAACACTTAAAGATTTAGGACTACTTTTTTTTTGTTTGTTTTTGAGACAGAGCCTCACTCTGCTGCCCAAGCTAGAGTGGCATCAGCATAGCTCACAGCAACTTCAAACTCCTAGGTTCAAGCTATCCTCCTGCCTTGGTCTCCCGAGTAGTTGGCACTACAGGCTCCTGACACAATGCCTGGATAATTTTTCTATTTTTAGTAGATATAGGGTCTGGACCTTGCTCAGGCCATCCATCCACCTCAGCCTCCCAGAGTGTTGTGAGTACAGGTATGAGCACTTTGCCCGGCCTAGGAGAAATTTGAGAAGGTGCTAAAGGAGAAAAGAGAATCAGCTAAGGAGCAGGTAAGGTTACAGATGTGGGGGCTGTAGGTTTGGGGTGTGTTTTTGCCAGTGGATAAAACACTGGTCCAGGAGGCGGCCTTTGTGCCAGCAATGGAGAGTAAGTACTGGGGGACCCTCAGCTTCAGGGAGAGCCACCAGCTTGTCAGCAGTGGTCTTCTGCCAAGGTAGCTACCTTGCCTAAGGCTAACTACTCCCCTGGGGCAGCTCTCATCTGATGACCAGTCTGCTCTCCTTGCCCCAATCTGGGACCCCTTCACAGGGCCTTCCCAGCACCAGAGCTCCTCTGAGAGGTGGAGTCCACCTCTTACACTGGCCTTGCAGTTTTCTCCCTAGGCCCAATCCTCTTTTCTCACTTCCTTACAGGTAGTGTTCTTAGGAGTTTCATCCAGTATGTGCCCTGTAGGCAAATCTGTCTAGAAGATCTCTTTTCAGGGAAACTGACCCAAGACACACTGCCATTGTCACCACCTGAGAGAACTGTGGGCTAAATGGACAGTGTGCGTGTGGCTCTCTGCAGCAGGTCAGGGGAGGCCATGCAGGCTGCTGTGGTGACTCTGGCTTTTACTTGGAGAGAGATGGAAGCCCATGAAGGTTTTAGGTAGAACCACATGGCCTGATGTTTTTTTGTCTTTTGAGACACAGTCTCACTTTGTTGCCCTCGGTAGAGTACTATGGCATCACAACTCACTACAACCTCAAACTCATGGGCTTAAGCGATTCTCTTGCCTCAGCCTCGCAAGTAGCTGGAACTATAGGCACCCGCC